GGACAGAGGGACAGAGGGACAGGGGACACGGTGGAGGTGTGTGGTCAAGGAGGGACATGGACATGGAGGGGTCAGGGGGTGTGGCTGCCGGACAGCGGCTCTTTGGGGTGSCAGAGGGTGGCAGGGGKGRCTCGGGGGTGGAGAAGGCAGCCCCCAGCAGTGCCACATGCTGCCACCGCGCCCAGGTGAGGTTGGGGAGCCGGGCTCCGTGCCCCGCGTCGCCTTCTCGGCCGCCCTGAGCACGCAGCGCTCGGAGCCGGGCACCGTCCCCTTCGATCAGGTGCTGCTCAACGACGGCGGTGCCTACGACCCCGAGACGGGTGAGGGTCCCTGGCACCACGGGGGGGTGCGGGGGGGTTTTGGGGTGACGGGTGTCACATTGGGGTGGTGGGGTAGGGGGGACAGTGATGCTGGGTGCGATAGTGGCGGTGTCGTGCCTGTCTGGGATGCCCTTGGGGTGCTGCAGGAGATGCAGGGTGGGGCACAGAGCCCACTCTGGGGGTCCCTGGAGRTCCCTGACCCCCTCCTCCCATCGCAGGCACATTCACGGTGCCGGTGCCCGGGCGGTACCTGGTGAGCGCCGTGCTGACCGGACACCGGGGCGAGGGGCTGGAGGCCGTCCTGTCCCGCTCCGGCCACGGCATCGCCCGCCTGGACTCGGCCGGGTTCCAACCCGAGGGGCTGGAGAAGGGCCCGGTGGCCGCACAAGCCCCCAGCCCCGGTGCCCTGGGYGTGTTCAGCCTGCTGCTGCCGCTGGCGGCGGGGGAAACGCTGTGTGTGGATTTGGTGTCGGGGCGCTTGGCCCACGCCCCCGATGAGCCCCTGACCGTGTTCAGCGCCGCTCTGCTCTACGATTCGGACCAGCCCTAGGGGCACWGCCAGGCCGGGGGGTCCCCACGCCCTCCAGGACCCCCAGCCCGTTATTTATCAGCACCCGCAGCCCTCGCTGTCCCACCGGCACACGGCCCTGCCCCACACCGCCCATCCCGACCCCCACGCTGCCCCCCGGCCCCCACCGCCCCCCAATAAAGATGCGGCACCGGGTTTTGTACCCGCGGCTCCGG